TACCTCCACATCGACAGAGTTCTGGTCCTCCGCGTCAGAAGTCAGCGCCGGCCGCTTTCCGTCCATGGTCATCCCAGGTCCGAGAAGAGAAACTTGCAACAATACTTCTCTGCAATCCACAGCGACAACCACAACAACAACAACAACAATTACGTGCTGGACACAATCCGTGAATGAATGAATCACACGACAACAGGAAGGGTCTTAATGGAGTTTCTCTCTCTCACTCTCTCTTTCTCTATTTCTCCACCGATGAATCGTGTAAAAAGTAATCCATAATCAGCTGTCCAGATCTCAGAGTGAGAGTTGTATGTATATCTCCAATTCTCTTCCGATTCGCCAAAACACGAGGTTCACACACAGAGAGACGTAAGTTTACATTGTAGACATCTGCAAAAAAAAATTGGAGACTCTTGTTCAAGACCTATATAATAGATCTCGCAACTGAAAATCGCTTCCTCTAAAGAGCAAATTCTAACGCATTAAAACAAACAAACCAAAACCAAACAGTATTGCTGTTGACGACATGTTTGGATGTCACAAATAGATGAAAGAGTTACTGAACCGATGAGTTCTAAACCTCACTAAAGATATATAGAGTTCGCGTTCATGACACACAACTCGTTCCATACTACACACACACACACACACACACACACATATATATATATATATAAATAACAAGTCACAAACACGTGAACGCAAAACGCATTAGTTCTACAATACATCTACACGACGCAGTGGAATCAGGCGCTCGTCAAGTTTTGGCCATGTGGGGTTATCATATCACCTTAAAGCTTTTTTTTTTTTTTGGTCTTGCTTTTGATGAAAAGAATATACATTTATCTTGAATACAAATCGAGACATTTGTGATTGAAACAGGTGGGGGTCGCCTGGTCTCAGAGGTAAAAATTAGTGAGAAAAAGGCCTCTAAAGTCTAATTATTTCCTTAGCTTGAGAGTCCCTGGAAACAGAAAATGTACACTTTTTATGCCTTTAATTGACGTTTTTCAGTACAATCCATATAGAAATGTGTTCTTTAATTGACATGGGGGATGTTGAGCTAAAAAAAATAATACAAAAATTCCTAAAACTGCAGAAAAATGCCAGTTTTCTTTACCGTCATTATTTTGACGAGTGCCTGATTTTCCCACGCTGCCTCAAAAATGGCACGTAAAAATTGTGCCATAAACAATCCTTGCTGACTGGCAGTTTCGGAGCTATTGGAAATGTAAAACATATATGTAGCCTAGCTAGTAGATGGTCTGGTCTCAGTCCCAGTGGCCGGGTTCACGACCTTGAGTAACCCTGCTGCTCGTCCACTTTGTAAAAAAGAATAATTTGCTCATTAACCTTGTCTGTTTTAGTAATTTATTTTTAGTAAGAGTTTTTAGTTTTTTTTAGTAGAGGTTTTTTTAGTAGAAAGTTTTACGCCACTTTTTAGTTTTTTTAGTAGAGGTTTTACGGCGCTCGCAACTGCATAGGGTCATATGAGCGCCGAAGATTAAAGGTGTTACAAGAGAGTCA